TTGTGCTACAGTGACAAGAGTTGGGTAGCTGCCAAACCTACACTATTATGTGATGCTTCAGAAAAATTTACAGGGCTGGGGATTTAGCTCAGTGGCATAAGTGCCTGCCTGCCAAGTGTAAGGTCATGAGTTTGATCCCCAGTACCAAAAAAAAAAAAAAAAAAAAAAAAGGAAAGAAAGAAAATAACTCCCATTATAGTAGATACTTAGGATCAGCTTATATTTATAGGATTCTTTTTTTTTTAATCAGTATTGGGGATCGAACTCACGACTGTGCACTTACAAGGCAGGCGTTTATGCTGCTGAGCTAATCCTCAACCCCTATATGTAGAATTCTTGAGTTGTTGCATTTTATAAACAGATTTTTGGGCTGATGATATAGCTCAGCAGCATAAGCACCTGTCTGGCAAGTGCAAAGTCCTGAGTTTGATTCCTGGCACAAAAAAACCAAAAACCAAAAAACAGATTTACTATAGTGTTGAGGCTTGACAAACAGCATGATAGATAATCTAAAACCTTTAGCTTGCATCTCTTGAAAATGCGTCCCTCGTGATGCTCTTGAGAAGTCTGATGCCCACTATTTTGGTTAACAACCACATATAAACTACCCTAAAAGAGAATGGTTTTTAAAAAGTAAGAACTGTTTGAATAGTTTTATAAACTTTGGAGTCGGGAATCTGAGAAGGGCTTGGTTGCGTGATTCCTCTGTTCCACCTGACTTCATGGGAGGTCGCTGAGCACTGAGCTAGTATCTGGACTGTTACAGAGTCCTGAGTTCACTACTGTGGGTGAGGAGCAGTGCGGGCTTCTCCTTCATGTAGTCTCAGGACCTTTCTGCAGGAAATGAAATATTTCTCCCTGCAGTGCAGGCTTTAACAGCAAGTGTTCCTAAAGACCAGGTGATACCTGGAGAGCTCTTCACACAATTTATTGTTCTTACAATTTGCCACGACCAGCTGGGTCAAAACGGGTGACAAAGAAATTGCAGCCATCTTTACAGGATGGCCATATAATTTTTCCTACTTTTTTCTCTTTTATGGTACTGATGATTGAACCAAGGGCCTTTGTACTAACCTGCGGCAACCCCTTTTTTATTTTTATTTTTTGAGACAGACTCTCCTTAAATTGTAGAGGCTGAGGTTGAACCCATGACTCTCTCTCAAGCTTCCCAGTGTGCTGGAATTAAGGTCATCATTGTTTCCTTCTTCCTCTATGCCATACCCAATAATCATAACGTCCTGTATTTTTTTTTTTTTCTGGTACCAGTGAACCTTTTGCTTGCCATGCAGGCACTGTATAAAGCCCTGTTTTTAAAAAATTTGAATTTTTTGCCTAACAGCCTGTGAAGCTATTATTGTTATTTTTTTACAACTATTATTAATTGTAAAACAATTTTAATAGTAAGGTTCTCGAAGTTGATTATTCTTTGGCAGTTTCCTCAGGCAAGGGTGGACCCTTCCATTGTATATACTTACATGTTCTTATTTCTAGAACGCTTCTTGGATTATAGCTTCAACATACATGGAATTTCAGCTAACACTGATGTTCTGCACTGTTGCCTTTATTCAGATGACATTCTAAACAGAAAGCAAATAGCACAGATGTATGGGGGTTGGGGCAAGCAGTAGCATTCTAGGACTTTGGATGGTGATGTAGGAAGCAACAGGAGACAGAGAGACAGGGGAGGGACAGACGTCTGCGTGCCATGCTGTGCAGGGACACAATGGGTGGCAAAGTTTAGAAAGGTTTTTCCAGTCTGCATCTATTAGCTTTACCCCATATACACAACTGAAAGGAGGAGAGGTTTGTTTGCTTGTTTGTTTGTTTGTTTGTCTTTTTCCTTTTTATCGGTACCGGGGATGGAACTCACAACTGCCTGCTTGCAAGGCAGGCGCTTATGCTGCTGAGCTAACTCCCCAGCCCCGAGAGGTTTGTTTTTGCATTCACTGCTTCATAGGTTTCAGTGTATACTCAGCTGGCTCTAAAGCAGAGGTGTGGTGGATGGGTGTGCTGGACAAAGCTGCTCACTTCATTGTAGCCAGGAAGCAGACCAAGTTGGAAAGAGCGCCCCAAGCTGGAGAGATGCACCCCCAAGGGCAGCCTTCAGTGACTGCCCCCCAGGGACCCCACCTCCTAACAGCATGGTCAGCTGTCAGCATCACTGGGTTAATGCTCCCCATGAGCCAGTCACTCTCCAGGAACCTCTAAACCCTGCAAGTTGACAATTACCTTAACCATCACATTGCAACGTGGGAGATGTGCTGGAATAAGAGTTCAGGAGAGGGGCTGGGGATTTAGCTCAGCGGCATTAGCACCTGCCTTGCAAGCAGGTGGTGGTTCGATCCCTGGTACTGATTAAAAAAAAAAGAAAAGAAAAAAAGAGTTCAGGAGGGAAACAGGTGTGAAGGGCTGGTGCACTAATCTATATGTGAAAGAGCTAAGAGGACAGATTCCAGAGGTATTTAAGAAGTCAAATCGACAGGACTTCATGATTATCGGATGTGGCAGGGAGAAAAAGATCGGAATCAAGCACGATGCCCAGGTGTCTGAATAGGACATGTGGCACACAGTGTGCTAAGTCATTTTTGCTATGCAGGGCTTCAGGCACCTCCAGGAGGATATCCTGGCAGGCTTCTGTGTATGTGGGCTGACCCCGTGGCAGGTGCTGATTCAGGTAGTAGATGAAGATGGAGGAGACAAAGTGGCTCAGAGAGAATATGTCGGGGGAGATGAGCTGAAATCAGAATCCTGGAGGCTGAGAAGTGGTTAAAGAGCTTAAGAGGGGGGTCATGTATTGAAGGTAAGAGGGTTTCAAAGCGTTGCCAAATACCTGAAAGTTGTAACATGAGGACTCACAAAGGAACAGGGACATTTAGGATCACATAAACCATTAACGCGGTGGTGCGGGCATAGCCACGGGTAGAGGAGTGGGAAGCTGATGAGGAGGGGAGGTGCATGTGATCAGCTCTCAAGACATCTGTTAAGGAAAGTATGGAGGAAGTGGTAACAGGCGTGGAATTTTCGTCCTTTTTCTTTAGGACAGGCAAAGCTTGAATAGGATTAGATGGTGCAGGAAAAAGAGGCAAGACAAATGGATAACCTGGGAGTAAAGATAATGAGTGGAAAATGTTGGAAAAGTGTTCTAGGGATGTGGGGGTGATGACCCAGGAGAGATGCTAAGACCAACGGGTATGGGGCTGGGGATTTAGCTCAGCGGCATAAGCGCCTGCCTTGCAAGCAGGCAGTCGTGAGTTCGATCCCTGGTACCGATAAAAACGAAAAAGACAAACAAACAAACCAACAAAACACACACACAAAAAAAACAAACCAGCGGGTATGAAGTAGTTAATTCCCAGAATGGTCTATAGGGGTCTTGCTCTCATCCTGGAATAACCTTGGTTTCAATCAACAAAGCAAACATGTCATGCAACATTTACATATTTATGAGTATACTCTTCTCTCCTAAGGATGAATCAGTGTTTATCCTTTCAATGTCTGCCCCATAGCGGGTGGTTAACAAACGGCCAAAGAATAAACTAGATACCTCGTAGGTGTTTTCTGAGTATGTTAACATGGTCAGACCACTGTCAATACCCTGCATAGCAAAGAAAGCGTCAAGCATGCAACACATTCACAGGATTCGTGTGTGAAAGGTGATGCACTATTTTTGAAGAATCTGTTTTGACGCTTACTTAAAGCTAGTTATCAGCATTTCCCTCTCTATAGGCGTTTAAAAATAGGAAGAGGAGAGAAGAGGGTGCTCTAAAGGTGGGCAGGCTGGCAGAAGGACCGGCGGCAGGCGGGGCGTGATCTGCTACACCACAAGGTGTCAACAAGCAGCTGCAAAGCACACTGCCCTCGGGGTTGCTTAGCTGATCAGTAACCCTTAAAAATGATCCTGTTTTTGAGTCTTAAACAATACAGAGGAAAAAGAATCATCTGCTCCATTGAAAAGTGCGTAGCCGTGTCTCATGTGGCCTCCCCTCCCTCCTATCGTTTACATATTTGGGATTCTGTAAAAATACGAAAAAAAGGTGCTGGGCTGCCAAGCCTTGGCGACCACCCTCTGCTGCTCTGCCCAGGCCGTCCACCGGCTGCGATGCTCTCTTTTTGTCACAAGGCTGCTGCTGCTTCTTCCTTCGGGCGCCTCCTCCAGGAGCTGCTCCTCGGCTGGCTCCAGCGGACGCCATCTCTTCCTGCTCACGCTCGCCCGGGGTCCGGCTGTGCTCGGCTCTGCAGCTGAGCCGGCAGTCGACACGGCTTTTCTTCTAAACGGCGTGCGGTGCAGGCCAGGGGCCGCGACGGCGACACCCGGGACAGCGCGGGACGGACGCTGCGGGGCCGGCGCTCAGAGCCGCCGCGTTCATCTGGAAAGCCGCCCGAGGCGGGACCCGGTCCTGCATTCCTTCTCTCCCAGTCACCAGGGCGGGTACCCAGCGGCCCGGCGGTACCTGAGGAGAGGAAGCGCAGCCCCGCCGCGGGCGCCCGGCACGGACGGCCGTGGAGCGCCCCCTCCGGCGCGCCCGGAACTCGGAGCCGGCCGGGGGCGGGTACCGCTCGGCTCTCAGGGGACGGCCACGCCCCTCCACGCCCCCGCCGGGGAAAGCCCCGCCCACCGCCGCGCGCTCCCGCCCCTCCGCCTCCGTCCTCGCGGCCTCGCGTCGGGGGCGGGCTCGCTGCGCGCGTGCCTGGCGGGGAAGCGGCGCGAGCCGGGCGCCGAGGACGTTCGCCGCGGGGGCGGCTCCGGGGCCTGAGAGGGCGCCGCCGCCGCTGCCGCCTCAGCCGAGGGGGCCGGGCCTGAGGAGGGTGCCGCCGGCGGAGGTCTTCCCGACGCCCCCAGCTCCGGCCGGGAAGGGAGCCAGGTGGGGAGTCACGGCGGCCGGCGGGGCCGGAGCCTCGCGCGCGCGAGGAGCGGGAAGGGAGCCCGCGCGGCGCCCGACCGCGGAGCCTGCGGGGTGTGTGGTGCGGGGTGCGGGGCGGGGGCGGCGCGCTGGGCCGAGGGCGAGCCCGTGGCCCAGTGGAGCCCGCTTGGGAGCGGCTCGGGGTCCCGCGCGCCGAGGGCTCCGGGCGCCAGCTGATGCCGCCCGAGCCCGGCGCTCGGCGCGGAGGCTCTGCCTTAGGTGCCCGAGGAGAGCAGGAGCAGGTCCTGGCAGAGGGCAGGTGAGGCGGGCAGGCCCTGGCAGAGGGAAGGGAATTTATCCCAGGTCACCCCGAAGCACCGTTTCCCGAGGCGCCTGACATCGCACCCGCCCCTGAGGTCACGCTCGGTCGGAAAGTGTCCCGGCGAGGGAGGCTGCGGCTGGCGAAGGCTCACGGTGCAGTCCTGTGCCGGGCCTCGGGATGTGGTAGACCTCGCAGCATTCTTAGCCAGCGTTTATTGATTATCTACCTTTCTTAGGCAGCCGTGGTTAGCACAAGGGCCACGAAATAGTGTGAGACACGACCGAGATCCGGTGTCGAGGTACTGGCAATTTGGCCATGAAGGGAGATATTGAAATAAAAAGCAGCATTGGATTTTATGTCTCAAGCCCTGGTCCCTTCAGGTCTCGTTGGTCTTTCCCCAGTACTGGGAAATTGGAAATCGGTTACTTGCTTGGTTTTGGGTCAAAGCAGAAAGATCAAGAAATCTTGGAGGAATTTGGGAGAGTTTTGAAGGCTCTTCTTGTGTGACCTTTCAAGAAGTGAGGAAAAACAAATTTGGAAAGAGAAAGGAAATTCCCTTTCTTCACACATAGAATTAAGTTCGGTGACTGTTCACTGCTAAATCCTCAGGATGTGGCCTGGCTTGCAGCGGTAGTGCAGTAAATGCTTGCTGCGTGAATGAATGAGCAGAGTTTTGCTACTTTATGTACGGAGCGTTATCCATCACTGGCATGGTTGATCGGCTTCTGTTGTCCTCCACATACTGTCTCTGGTTCTTAGAGCCTGCCACTCCTTTTGGGTGGTTGTTTGAGATCCTCATGTTCTGGACCTCTCATTGGCTTTTTTTTTTTTTTTTTTTTTTTTGAGACATGGTCTTGCTATGCAGTTATGGCTGGCTTTGAACTCACTGTTGTAGCCCAGGCTAGGTTGGAGCTTCCGTTGGCTTCTTAGGGGAGGTGGGAGCATGCTTTTGTCTAGAAAACTCTTTTCGTTTTTATCCTGGCTCTTGAGTCTTAGATGCTTGTTTCTGCTCTTGTGTGAGGGCTGGAATTCTGCCTGTCCTCATCCTTGTTGGACTCTCCAGCTCCAGGCTGCTGCTTCAGTCCTCTGGGTTGCGGTGCCTGTTAGTTTACTTTGTCTGCCAAATTAAAACGTGACCTTTTATGAGTTCTCTGAGGATATTTGTCAGGCATACCTGAAATTGCCTTTGAAGTGTGTTACAAAGTCTAGTGCTGGGAAGGATTTTCGGTTCCACTAAAATTTGTCTGAGACAAAATTTCTAATTACACTTAGAAACTTAGAATTCATAGAATTTTGATTTGCCATTTATTATATGCCTTTGATAATAATTTCTCAGGGCTTCCACATAAAAAAGTAAGGGCATAGTAATCCAAAATTTAAAAAATTTTTTTCATTAGTACATGTTTGTAGGACATAATGATTACATTCATTTTGGGGGGTTGGTACATGTAGGTAACACATTTTAATTCTTTTTAAGCCTGCTTTACCTCATCCTGTGCTCCTTTTCCTATTTGCAAAAGATCTATATTTCTGTTTCCTATTATCTTTTTTAAAATTTATTTTTAAAATTTATTTATATTTTGAGACAGGGTCTCACTATGGAGTTCAGGCCGGCTTTGAATTCACTGACCCTAAACTTGCAGCAGTCCTCCTGTATTAGCCTTTCAACTGCTGGGACTTATTTTGCTCTTTGTTAGATTTTGAGTTTCTCATGTAACAGAAATGATGCCATGTTTAAGTTTGTGTGCCTGATTTATTCCACTTACCATTATGATCTCAAGGGGCATCCATTCTCCCACCAGTGACTTAAAGTACACCCCATTGTGTATAAATTCCACATTTTCTGTATTCATTCATCAGTTGATGGACATATAGGCCACTTTCAAGGTTTAGCTACTATGAATTGTGTTGATATAAATTGTAATATTATGTCTTTAACTTTTTTTTTTTTTTTTTATGTTTTTTGGTGCGGGGGTTGAACTTATGACCTTGCGCTTGCCAGGCAGGCACTTACGCTGCTGAGCTAAATTCCCAGCCCAATGTCTTTAATTCTTTTTTCTTTTTCTTTTGTCTTTTTTTGAGACAGGGTCTCGCGCTCTGCAGTTCAGGCTGGCCTTGATCTCACTTTGTAGCCCAGGCTGGTCTCGAACTTGCAATGATCCTCCTGCCTCAGCCTTCTGAGTGCTAGGATTACTCTCCATACTGATTTCCATAGTGGTTGCACTAGTTTACATTCATACCGACTGTATAGAAGAGTTCCTTTTTCTCTGCAGGCTTGTCAGCATTTTTTATTATTTGATTTCTTTTTTTTTTTTTTTACTTTGAAATTTGATTTCTTGATGATAGCCATTTTTTTCTGGAGGAAGACAAAATCTCAGTGTCATATTAAGTTGGGTTTGTCTTAATATGACAAAGTTGGGTATGTCTTTATATGTTCAATATTGAACGTAGTTCAATATTGGCTTCCCAGTTCAATATTGAACATAGTTTCATGTATTTGTACTTCTGAGAAATGTTCATTTCAGTTGTCTATTTTTGGATTGGGTCTTTTATGGGGGGGTAACTTTTTTGAGTTATTTATATATTCTCGGTGGTAGTCCCCTGAGGGGTAGCTGGCAAAATTTTTTCTTATTCTATAGGTTGTCTTTTTACTTTGTCGGTTATTTCCTTTGTTGTGCAGAAACTTTTTAATTTTATATAATCTCATTTTTGTTCTTGGTGTTGTTTCTCTTACCTTTGGAGTTCTGTTCAGGAAGTCCTTTTCTATGCTAATGACTTTCAAGAGTTTTAGCTATTTTATCGAATATATTCAATTGTAGATTTAAAGCAGAGTTTATCCTTTTCCTGGGGAACAATTTGGTTTCTTTGCATTGTAATTATTTGATGAATGTATGTATTCCAAATGCATTCTGCCAATCTGAGACTTTTCCTTTTTCATTGTTAACTGTGACATTAAATTTTGATGCCATATTTATGGAAAATTTCTCTTTTTTAAGTTGCTTGTCTTTGTGTGTGTCTGGCTTAAAATGTTCACTACCACAAGATATGAATTATATATTTTTGTATTTTCTTGTAAAATTCACATATTTTCTTATTGAAGTTTTGCTTCTCATTCAGAATTTTATTTTTATGTATGGTAATATGAAAAAATATACAATATATTGGATAACAAGTTTTTTAATACTTTAAAAATAATTTTTAGTGTGTTAAAATATGCATAATATATAACTTACCATTTCTCCCATGTTTAAGTGTACAGTTCTGCTGTATTAAGTATATTATGTTGTTGGAATTGTAACCACTATTCCTCTCCAAAGCTTCATCTTCCCCAAAAGAGTCTCTGTATCCATTAACAGTGACTCCCAATTCTCCCGTTAGCCCCTGACATACCACCATCCTACTTTCTGTTTTTATCAATCTCATTGCTCTTTTCTACATAGCGCATTTAAGTGGATCCTGTATTTGTCCTTTTCTTTTTTTTTTTAGGTTTTTTTGAGACAAAAAGTGTTTTGCTATGCAGTTCAGGCTGGCCTTGAACTCATTTTGTAACCTTGGCTGGCTTTGAACTCACAGTAATCCTTCTGCTTCAGCTTTTCAAGCTGTATTTATCTTTATGTGTCTGGCTTATTTTTCTTAACAGAATGTGCTCTCTACCTACATTGTAGAATGTTTCAAAAAAATTTTTTTTGTTTGCATTAAGGTCTTACTATGTTGCCCAGGCTGGCTGTGAACTCTGTCTTTTCAGTAGCTTGGACTATAGGTGTGAGCTGCTGCACCCAGCAAAATTTCTTTTTTAAGGCTGCTATAATACTTGTCTTTGTGTGTGCGCGAGACTGGCGTTTGAACCTTGGGGCTTCACACTGAGCTACACTCTCAGACATTTTAAATATTTTTAATTTTTATTTTAAAGGGGGTGAAATTAAACACAACAAGACAGAACAAAATAGGACATAAGAAAGCAATGTAAGAGATACAAATTTCAAAGCTGCATGACCTGAGTTCTTCACTATCTATCATATTGTCTCCTGTTTTCTTCCAAATAGTTTTCCACTTCTCCGCATACAGAGAATTCATACAAAACAACATAGTATAAAACTGATCCGAACTGAATGAGGAAGGTGTTTTAGTTCTTCAGAACCAGACAATAGGGAAGTCACTAGTGGCTGTTGTAGAGACTCTCATTCTCTTCAAAATAGCTGTCCATATTTTCATGTATATTGAAGTTCAGCAAAACAAAATAAGCAGGGGGAGGGGTTGCTTGGTTTCCTGGTGTTCCAGGTCCCAGCATGGTGCAACCTCCAGAGCCTGCCACACTCACAGCCGCTCACGGGGTGGTGGTGGTGTTGCTTGGCTTCGCAGCTCTCCATGTCCCAGCATGGTGCCGGTCCCTGTAAATGCCCTTGGCTCCTGTCCTGGGCCATCGGAGCCTGCCAGGCTCACAGCTGCTCACCAGGGCGGGAGGGGTTGCCTCAAGCTGTTCCTTTCTAATGAATTGACCATTTCACTGCCCAAGTTCTGAAATGGCCAACAGACCATAGAAAGACATCTCTTTAGGCTCCTGCTTGAAACCAGCAGCGTCAGGAAGCTGCCAGCCTTGATTCAGGACCAGAAAAATTTTAAATTTTGAGATGGGGTCTCAGTCCCTAAATGGCCCAGGCTGGGTTTGAACTTGTGATCCTTCTGCCTCAGCCTCAGTGAGAGGCTGGGTATACAGGTGTGCGCACCATGACTGGCTCATGTTTATTTTTTCATTAATCCATGGCTGATATGGCAGTGTGAATGATACCACTATGAACATCAGTATGCATATATCTATTTAAAGTCCTGCTTTCAGTTCTTTTGGGTATACTCAAGTAGAATCGTCAGTGATATGTTTTTATAAACAATATATGTAACAATAAAAATAGAGCAATTTGACCGAAATGACTGGGTAGTGAAAGGGTTCTTGTGTACTCTCTGTTGTAATTTTCTCCTATTATTAATATCTTTCATTAGTG